CGTAGAAATGCATGTTGAAAATTTTATCGAAATAGGTTCGTGTTTACGAGTTACAATAAATAAAAAATCGCAAAAATCGCAGTTTTATCACGATTTTTACCAAAAACTGTAAGAAATCTGCAGTTTTTAAAGTTGTTCGACGCCTGTAGCTCGACTCGGGGCTAACTGATTTCGATTAAACTTTCTTGGCATCTTTTAAATTTTCGCTATAGGCTCAGATAAAAGAGTTAGAAAGCGAGAGTTTTTAACTTTTTCTTTTCATTCCAAGTAATAGCAAAATTAAAAAAAAGAAGCTTTTTAAAAATTCAAGTCGTTTAGTCCAGTCTCGAAAAAGTTATTGCGTTTTAAAAGGTGTGCGAACACTTTTATGGGCCTTTTTTTATTACTGTATTTATACGTAGAAGATTCTTAATTCGTAGAAAAATGAACAATTTGACTCGTTCACTCTTCCTAAAATTTTCAACACGTCTAACTTTCCTCGAACAAAAATTGTTTCCATATTTTGCGATTAGGTACGACCATTAATTCAATGCACGCTGCAACAGTGGTCAAAACGTGAATGCAGAGTGTTTTACAGAATTAATTTGAACAGCTGCCAAACCACTGATCGAAGTCGATCTTCCATTTCCAGATGACACGTACATGTATGACGAAGACGCACGGTGCGGGGGTGGATTAGGTCCAGGCCCTGGAGGTCAACACTGGTACGACGAGCCCCCGTATGAGTCAGACCCTGAAGATTTCCTCATGGGAGCAAGCGGCGGAGGTGTTCCAACTGCGACTATTCAGAATGGAAGGTGAAATCATGTTACTTTCTGTCACGCTTGTCTCCACGTGCATACAGACATAATCCAACAGTCTCGTTATTTAACCACAAATATTTCGCTCTTGCGAAATATCCTTGAACCTCTTCGGTATATATTTTCCTACGCGAAACGTGGTTCAGATCCTTCAAAAAAGACGGAACGTTTGGAACAAATACAGAGAAAAGTAGAAATTGAAGAAGAGGTTTAATTCTATTTGGTTCGTTTTTTCCGAGAAGGAAACGACAAATTGAAAATAGATTTATTCATTATTTTCCATACGGAATCTTAAATTCTTGTTATTAACCCTTTGCACTCGAAGAGCCATTTTAACTGTAAATCTAAATTAATTTCTCTGACTTATGGTATTTCCATTTTATATGACAAAGTGCATTTTATGCACTTAGTCTTGCGACTCATACAACAATTAGACTTTTAACGTGATGTAACACAACTTTAATAGTGCCTCAGAGTCGCCACTCGAGTGCTAAGGGTTAACAGCAGTCTTTATTCCTTTCATTAAAAGTACAATATAGTTGAACTTTGATCAATTAATTGTGGTTAATTTGCGTTCTCGATTAGTTACCTCGCAAATGAAACGTTTCGAATAAACGATTCGACTGCTTTTCGTCACCGACGTTCTACAACAATAACGAATATAGTTATTAGTAATCGATGTTATCGTGCACGTAGAAGAATCAAGCTCAAAGCTGTGAATAAATTCTAGAGTGTGCTTCACGCTGAATTTGAGGCCAGAGAACAGAAGCGAGGGAGTGATATCGCTTCGGACAGCTGGAGACATCAGTTTACCTCGAGATCGTTCTAGGAAAGGAGCAAGTTCGACGATGCGAGGACTTATTGTACCGCAAGGTCACAATAATCCACCCACTATCATACCACTTACGCACTCGAGAGCCTCTCGAGAAAGCGGAGATTACGCGAGTAGCGACGTTCAGGTAAGTTTGCACACGAAACCAGTTTCTTGAAGACGCTGTACGCATATATTTATCGAACGGGAACCATAGCGCGAAGTGTCTCGCCTGGTCCCGATTATTTTCAGTTCTGCAGTCTCATGTACTTCCATAGATGCCACGTCTAGACCACGTGATCGACTGTAAAATTTACCAGATACGTACTAAACGAGGATATCGTCGAACGTGGTCTCGTATTGCCGAGTGAATCGGAATTGTTCGAGTCCAAATACGTTCGTGAAACATTCCACCGTTCGCGTTGCAAAGTATGTTAAACGGGAACAATCGTTGGTATCGATCTAGCAAAAGTCACTCGATTCTCAAACTTGTTACGTTATCCTTGAATAATCAAAAGTCTAAATGGACTTGTTACGCGCTTCTTTTCACCGTTCGCCGATTCCGATTCACACTGCAACAATAAAGGATTCTTTAGTAAATGCACATACGAAACATTATATTGAAAAATCTTACATAGGATAATCCACAGCAAGAAGAAGACGCGAATTTACTTAAAAAAGAAGCAAATTGGAAATTTAGAAATAACATCGTTTCGTATAAAATTTTGTTTTCGAGACGATATAATTTCAACATTCTAACTCATTCATTTCTACTTGCGTTTATATTTACAAACAGTGTTTGCTACGATATTGTTGTAAATAAATAATATCGCACCATTGCGTGTCTAACACAAGTAGAAATGCTAAGTAATGATCGGACAGAGTAGCCAGTCCATTAAAAAATCTATAGCGTTCACATATTTAAAGAAAAAATGGAAATATGAATTGCCAACGAAATCTGGAACAATATTTAACAATTGATACGTATATATTTGTTTTTATCAAAATTGTCTGCATTCGCGATGCAAAAAATTAGGAACAAAGAGAAATTTCTTTCTTGACTAATTTCAGGATTAAGTTAGCGATCGTTGGAAACGAAATTTCATATGAACGTGTTTCAATCGGCATTTTCGATTGGCTTTTTCGCGGGGCGTTTATGATCGCTAATTGGGTCCCATTGTCTCCGACGGCGACAAGTACGGTGCTCGTTTTTTGTCTCGGTTCATCCCGATCAGTGTTTACCCTCCCCGTCGCGAGAAGGCGTCAAAATGACGCCCACGTAGTCGTGGTTACACGTCAAGGCGTGATTGATTTAATTTTGGTGGTGTAAAGTGTGAGCTCGAGACTGTCGACTGTGTCGGTGAACACGAGTAGGAGTTACTAACTTTCGGTGGCGGGTGATCTACACCCTGACCATCACCCTCGCAACAGTCGTTACGACCACCACGAACAGTATCATAACTATCGACACACCGACATCGTGAACAAGCCAACATTTGACCCAATCACCGCTTCGCTACAATTACAGTCGATGTAACATTCGCACACTCACAGTTACTGCTGACATTGCATTTCTATTGTCGGGACGAGCGGTAAGTTGATAAACGTACTTCGCCGACTATGCAAAGTAAATCGACTAACATTGTCATCGGAATTGCCTCCATTGTTGTTAATGACGGAACGAGGTGTCTAAGAAAAGAAACTTCTTCGATGCGCCGATCGTTGTGATAGAAAAGATTTTCTTCTCCGCGCTCATATTATCTTCTAATTCAAGAAGGATGACGTATTACAAAGTACACCATACCTATAGATACTATATAGATACTATAGCTTATAGTATAGCTTATAGGCTATAGTATCTATAGGTATAGTACTATTACCATACTAATATAATAAATATTACTATTACTGTAGTATCTATAGGTATAGTGCTATTACTATACTAATATAATAAATATTACTATTACTATAGTATCTATAGGTATAGTACTATTACTATACTAATATAATAAATATTACTATTACTATAGTATCTATAGGTATAGTACTATTACTATACTAATATAATAAATATTACTATTACTATAGTATCTATAGGTATAGTACTATTACTATACTAATATAATAAATATTACTATTACTATACTAATGTAATAAATATTACTATTACTATAGTATCTATAGGTATAGTACTATTACTATACTAATATAATAAATATTACTATTACTATACTAATGTAATCTATATACTATAAATAGTAATATACTGTATATAAGTACTATACTATATATAAGTAATATACTATAAATACTATAGCAATGTACTGTACCATACTATTCCTTCCGGAGGTCACTTGAAGGTCAATATAGTCAAATTCGTTTTCTCGTTTGCGTTACATTATTTCCCCATTTAAATAAACGACGATAATCTTGAAATATTAGAAAATATTAGATTGAAAAGCAAAATCTCTTTCACCGCAATAATTGACACGCTGAAGTAAACATTGTTTTCTTTGCACATTTTCTCGTGTCGTTCAAAACAACGGAGATCAGGTGAAAGTGTTAAGTGGACATCACTTGTGTAGCGTAATTGTACGACGAGGTCGCTATTGAAACTTTATAACAATTGGCAATAATTAGCAACCAGAAACACGAAGGATCGGTGTATTTCTTCTTCTTTATCGTTTCATTGTTCTAGGTATCCTCTGTCTTTTTATTTGTCGCTGGCAGCCACGTAATATCCTACGAGATTCGTTCGAATTACGAGACTAAATATCAGCGTGTCCACGGATACAGTAAAATAAACAATTAAAATGCATCGAAAGAGTGAAAGCACGATTACAATTCGTTTTCCTCGGTACGGTTAAGGGCAAAAAATTAGGCAAACGGCGCAGAATCTAAAAGGCAAAGTTAATTTTCGCTTATTATATTCAAGATTTAAGCTTAATACGAATGCAAGGGGGTTTAACAAACCACTTCTGCTTAACTATTCCAAGCAATTCGCTATCTTCTAACGTCGAAACGCGATTATATTCCTCGGAACACCTTCCTATTTACCTAATGGAACAGAACCGGGGCTGCATACTAATCTATTTAGTTTCTAGTAGCGCGTATGCAACACCGTTCCAGAAATTTCCATACAGGTGTATACGTTTCGGCGATTACACTTTTGCCTGAACGCGCCGACACATTGAACACAGGAACATCAACGTCTTCGATCCTGGACAAACGAAACTTCTACGGTTCGGCACGTATCATTGTACATAGGCGTGGCGATCACGAATATTGCTTTTTTTTTCTTATTGTTATTTGTGTGCGTCGTTCAAACTTTCGCGATATATAATTTTTTAACAAACCTTCCCGTCCAAAGTAATTTTATCGATCAAGCTTTTACGGCCCCCTTCAATCTTCATTAATTTTAATTCTGGAGAAACGGGACAATCGAGTATCGATTTATAAACGTTAATTGCTTTGCCCTTGATATTCATTATTTTAGATAAGATATTAGGTAATAAAAATAAGCTTCGATTACTTAACTATTACGAATGTAAACGAAATAATTTCCACCATGATTTACGGATGATTTACGTTGGTAAATTTAGCGATGATTTCCAAGAGATTATTTAGGGTTTAGAATCGCGTCCGGAACGTACGCCACATGACGGTTCAGATACATTAATATTACAGATCGTAATTTATGGAAATCGATATAAGATCGAATAATGAAATATTTATTCCGAATAATTTTAGTGGTACATCTATTGATATTTACTGCAAACATTTGAACTATATTATTAATTATATGATGTACAAATCCAGAGTGCATACTTCTCGTTGCATTCGGAGCTAAATATTCATGGCCCGTGTAGTGCCTCCAATAATACATGATGTATGATCGCTAATCTCATAGAAAGTGCATCTGGAACATCGACGATTTAATAACCGAATAATTCCCAGAAATTCGTCTGTTTCCGCAGACTGCTTTAACACCGCTTTCTCTATAAACTTTCTAATTCACGTAGCAACAAAGTAATTGATAAAATTGCAAATCTCTATCGAGATCGACGCGGATCGTGCCAATATTATTCCGCAATTTCGATTCGCCGATGAACGAACAAATGAACGAACGAACAATTCCGTGATTTCGACGACACATTTTGTCGCGATTGCTCCAAGTGTTCACCAAACGAGACACGGTAGAAAATTAAGCGTGCTGCGACGGACACGCGGAACTTTTTTCATACACGACGACGACAAGTTGACTGGCCGAGCTTCGTGAACTTTAGAGCGAATGGCTGAGAATGCAATTTTCCAGGAACTTAATTCAAACTTTTGGAACGTCTAATACACTGCTCTCAATCTCCGCTACAACTTAGGGTATCTTATTGCAAGCGCTTGCGTTTTATTAACAATAAAACAAGAGTTTGTACATAAAAACATAATCCCGGTTCACGAGGGAATGCTGGTACCTGAAACTTCTCCGAGGCATGTTTAGATAGAAATTTCGTCGATCTTATTGTTTTTCCTCTTACTAACTCTAGGGGTGATTGGGTTCCTTCCACTCCGCGTGCGTGTCCACGCGGTTTCTCGCCGATCACATGTTCGCGCGTTATGTACAAGTGACTGATAACCCTACGAACACTCCGAGAACGTTAATAACAGTGATGTTTCAACAGGAAAATCTCTACTTCAACGAACGACTTGCAGACGCAATTTTACCGCGAAAGTAACTTATGGAAGATACAAATTATTTGTTTAAACATCTGTTCCACGAGATAAGGTGACATTTTAAACAGACGCAGTCCTCGAAGATCGTATAACTCGACAGTGTTACATTTAGGCCGCAGATCTTGAGGCAACTTATAAATTTTCTTCATTGAGGGCATGAAACGTCTTTCTTCATTTAACCCTTAGCACTTCGCGCGTTTCTCCAGTACTGCCTACCCAGCAACTCCGACACATTTTTGGAGCGAAGCGCCTGAGATAAAGGAAGTCTTATTTTGAGCGTCTTATTTTGATTACACGTCCTTGTGAATGCATTTGATATTTTATTTATTTCATAAATATACATTTTCCTATTGTAAATAAAAGATAAATTTTAAATTCTGTAATTCACCATGGTGTGATATCTTTGGTAACAATCTCCCATGTGCATTCTGGGCTTACTTGGACAAGTGTCACAGTATTCACTTTGCCAAATATAGTTACTAGATATTTCTTTCAAGTTTAGAACATTTTCTGCGTAATCGTTGGTTTCCTTTATAATTTCATTTACCAATTCGTCCGTGAAAAATAATTAAAAATATTGTATCAGCTGTTCAACGTTTGTAGGAACTTGTGGTCCAATGACCTGTGGCAATACACTAAAAGGAATATTCTATCTGGAATATTCTATTCTAGGAATATTCTATCGTCTCTTTGGTAGTATAATTTCGCTACTACTACTTCAAGTGTTAAAATCATAACCAACATTGTCTTCCACAATGTCTTTTAACTCCTCAAAATCAAATACGTCTTCGATATCACTCGGCTCTAAATTCTCATCATAATATTTATTTTTCTCCACGTTGCTAACCATAGAAAAGGTCAAAAAATGGTTTAATCGTAATGGTACAAAATTTAGCACGTTTTAACTACAGATAACAATTACTAACGCCGACGATAACGTATGCTAAAAACATTTGGCTCCGCAGCGGAGCCTTCGGAGTTAGGGAACAAATGATAAGTGTCTCCGTAGCGGAGCCTTCGGAGCGCTAAGGGTTAACAATTGTAATGAATTGGAAACAATACATGCACGTTTTCATCGATTCATTTGACCGCTCTACTGTCTTAAACAATCATTTATTCTGACATAACTGCATCAAATCTTCAGTCTACTATCTTTCCTTGAATTTTTACTAGAATTCCAACAACGATGATCGCATGAACCGTCTTCCTACATTTAACAATTACAGTAATGTCTCTGCACCAAAATGGACAATTTGGGAAGAGGAGATACGATTATTCGAGCCTCGGCGGTTCGTTTATATAGTTGCCGATTGTCGACCATTATAAAAACGAGCCGCAAGGCTCGAATAATCCTATCTCCTCTTGCTAAATTGTCCATTTTTCTGCACAATTTCGGCGTCAATTAGGAAGACATCACTGTATTACGTATTGAAAATAATATATGGGCACTCGTAAATTCACTCAACTCATTTTACTGTTTGAATCAGCTATTCGTTCTTCTTATAAGTGCACAAAATCTGCGATCTATTACTTTATTCGATTTCACTACAATTCGACGCGACTGTCGAATGAATTAAGCTAATGAATGAATCTACGAAACCGAAGTGATCTGCAAGTCGTTCGTCGGCCGGTTGAGATCACTCGAATTAATCAGGTGTAGGAAGAACATGACAGAATCGCTTAAATGTACCCCCTAACTTTCTGATCCCGAAAGCTCACAGCATGCACATAATTCTGGGCTGATCCTTGTACGTGCACGTATGGTATAACTATTTTTATATATCCAGATATATACACACATATACACACATTCATGAACACTCTCTGATCCTACTGATTCTGGCGTTGATCCAATCAACGCTTTATCGATGGCGCCCTATAGATTCGATTGTCGATCTAGCTACCCACCCACGTAAACGATCGATCACCTGCGACAGCACCCCTACTAAAACTCGAACTAAAGCCCGCTTCTCCTTTTACATTTGCGTGATTAGAACAGTCTCTGTGAGTATCAACGTTTTAGAGCCGGAGTAGCGGCGAAGAAGGACTGTCGCCGAGCCAGAGCAGCGACTACGAGGATCAAGAAGAACTTGAGAATCAGCACTCCGCCACCGTACACACAGTACGTGACATATACAACTCCTCCTTTCACAAAATGTCTCCTTCTCTCTCTCTCTCTCTCTTCTTTCTTTCTTTCTTTCTTTATTTATTTATTTTTCACTTTTTCTCTTTCTACAAGGTATCCCAAAATTATTGTACAAGCGGGAAATGAGGTGTTCCTGAGATCATTTGAAGCAACTTTTTCCTTAACGAAAATGCAATTCGATGCTTCGTTTACTAGTTATTAACGAAAAACAGTGGCCAATGAGAGGCGAGCTCGCCTAACGTTAGGCGGCCGAGCCAAGTAGCAGAACTGGGCTCCGTAGGCTCGTTGGCTGGCTCGCCTTGCGCCAGCTGAGCCAAGGGCCAATGCGAGGCGAGATCAGCTGGCGCTAGGTGGCCGAGCCAATCAGCGGAACTGGGCTTCGACGCCGAGCTCGCCTCTCATTAGTCACCGTTTTTCACTAATAACTCGTAAACGAAGCCGCGGATTGCATTTTCGCTAAGGAAAAAGTTGCTTCAAATGATCTCGGGAATCCCTCATTTCTCGCTTGTACAATAATTTTTGGGCACCCTGTATATTCAGTCCCTTCGTTGCACTGGTTTAAGTGTTGCATGATCGTGGGCTACGTAGAACACCATTCCCCTGGCTGTCTAGTAGAAACGACTAAATGTGAGTAGCGCATACACACGGTGAAATGATGCACGGTGTTGGGCCGGTGGAAAAGTGATGTCTGTCTCGACGAATTCAACCATGTTCCGCGATTTGTCCGTGCGTGATACAGAATCTTGCCAATAGGTCATGTTACCGCTGACTCGCAGTGACGTTCTTTTTCGAGGATGTAATGAAATCTGCTGTTATTTGGGATCGTATTGGCCTACGAGGGAGCTAGGTACATGCACGTTTTGATGTAGGTTCGTTGCGAAAGCTGTAGCTAAGCGAAATACGAAAATAGGGAAACATCGAGGGATATGTAGGCGGAAAGTTGTGCCGATCGCTTAGAAAACAATTTTTTATTAGTTGAGGAGGATGAAGCGATGTTCGCAGGTTTTTCGACGGTTGCATAGAGATACAGTAATGTCTCTCTAATTGACGCTTAGATTGTCCACAAAAATGGACAATTTAGGAAGAGGAGATACGATTGTTCGAGCCTTGTGGCTCGTTTTTTATGGTTATCGGTTGTCAATAATTATAGAAATGAGCCGCAAGGCTCGAATAATCGTATCTCCTCTCTTCCCAGATTGTCCATTTGTCTGCACAATTTGATGCGTCAGTAAGAGAGACATTACTGTAACGTGGTGTATTAACCCTTTGCACTCGGGCTCATTTTAACTGTAAATCTGAATTAATTTCTCTGACTCATCGTGTCTCCATTTTATATGACAAAGTGCATTTCATGTATATGAAAATGAATCTCGTGGCTCATACAACAGTTCGACTTTTAGCAATCTTTTATATCTAAGCTTTTATAATACAAAAATGATCTTGGAACGTGATGTAACAATTTTAGCGGTGCCTCAGATTCGCCACTCGAGTGCAAAGGGTTAATCTTCTGATAATTTTCTCCGATCACCTACCAAAAACTCGTACGCATTTATTCGCGAAGTAGTTAATAACGCTTTTTAAAAAAAACATAAAACGATAAAACATTGGAAATAATTAGAAGAAACAAAAATTGTCGGATGTAAAAGGTTGGAATGTACCTGTTCGTGCGTTAAAGGGAGCGAAACAATTCGTTCATTGTCTATACAATATGTAAGCGTTGCTTTAGGAAAAATATCGCCGTATGTTAAACAGCGATTAAACTCGCACAACGGTGCAAAATGTTCCGTTTCAGTTTTTAAGCTTGCAGCAACGTAGCTTTTTCGTGGGCAGTTGATCCCAAAGCAACTACGCAATTTACGGATAGCATAAACGGACTTTAAAGCAAAAGGGAGTATCGTAGAAAGGAATATATTGCCTCCATACACAATTTCCGCACTTTCGGAACGGTGTATATACGCGGTATAATGTGTACGTATTCTTTGTAATAACTGTGTTGTTATTAAAATTTACTTCGCTCCGGTTTTTGATCAAAGTAAACGTGGTCGGAAACTTCCCGCCAACGGTGTACATCTTCTTCTCTATTTACACAATCATCGAACGCGAGGTAAACTTGCTGCGTTGACGATACAATTATTGTATGATACAATTTATTTGTTTTAAGGGAACTATCGGAGATCGATGCATTATATGTGTCCTAAATGAAATAATAAGGCTTCCACGGAATATATAATTTTTTTTATAGAATACCGATATTTTTTCAGAGTATAGCTCGTTCATAGACAGAAGCTCGCGCGATGTACATAAAATAACTAACCCACGGAAAATATAGCTCGTGAAAGTACAGCTTGCGAAGATCACAGATTCTTTACAAAATGAAATTATAGTCGAAACAGAATTGTCGAAATAACAATAAAAGGCGAGTCGATGGAATTGAAATTTCAACGTAACTCTTCATTTCATTGGCAAAACTGTCGACATTACTTTTTCACGAGCCCGACGAGATTACACCAACATTTCGATAGGCAAACGTAAGATGCTTTATTTGGTAATTTTTTAGTATTATGCACCATAATCGTTGGGTAAGTGACAGTCTCAATGTCAGTAGCGGCCATCTTCGCTTTCCCATTCGACGAACCGTCCATCCGTTCTCCAAATAATTCTATATTTAATCATTATTTTTTACGAACAGTCCATCCCTGTTGAGCATCGTGTCAGAATGGCGATTCCCCCCCTCCCCCGAGTTCAAACGAACAAAACCTGTGTTTTAAATCGAATGTACACAGTCCCCCTGATCACGTATACATGCAACTAGCCGTTCGAATTCGTTACGATTTTTGTTTTGCGCTCTTGTTTCGCTGGATCCTAGTCGAAACCATTTCGCGCCCGTGCCCTAGAAATCTACACAAGTTCGGCGCAAAGGTAGCTCTAATTCCTGAACATTTCTACCTGTTATACAATCACAACACGTGCGTCTACTCCACCGACAAGTCGACAACGACATCGTGCTGGCTCGAAGCCGAGGCTCAACGGCCTTTGTGAATCTTTCACGATCGTGCCGTTTAAGATACCTTATATATATACATATATATATAATTGTTGCATGTTCTCAAAATTTTGCAGAACAACAGAAGTGTCCTGTTGACCCTACACCTTTTGTAAAAAGACTTCACCGATCGATTTTTGCGTCGATCAAAGAGCTACGCGAAACGACCGACATCCAATTACAACAGCAACCGAGAACTTTCAGAACAGTGTTTCTCACTATTATCGCTGTGACTTTGCCGAAAATCATTGTTGGTAGACGACAAAATTCGAGTACATTCTTCGAATGCTAGTGAACAATCGTGCAAAGTTTAAAATTGTAATATCGAACTGTTCTCTTTGAAAAAATTCCCGATAGCATTATAATTACAGCCTGAAATCAGAGAAACTTCTTACCTCTTTCTAAAAACGTTCTTATCGTTATCGCTGCAAATTTGGCGAACATTTTTATCATTGTTTTAGCACATTCCTCGCATACTGGTTAATCTACTGGTTCTCTTTGAAAAAATGCCCGATGCCAACCTTATAATTATAGCCTGAAATCAGAGAAACTTCTTACCTCTTTCTAAAAACGTTCTTATCGTTATCGCTGCAAATTTGGCGAACATTTTTATCATTGCCTTAGCACATTCCTCGCATACTAATTAATCATTGTGCGAAGCTTGAAGCTGCGACACCACAGTACATATATCTCGAATTCCTAGAAACAGCCGGTCTAGAGTGACCACTTACTTAAAAGAAAAAAACCTCCTTCGTCGAAGGACTCGCAACGGCCCGAGTCTATCGCGAGTATAACCGAATACTTGAATGCAAAACTCAGAGCGAACCTAGATTCTAAAAGTTCAATCCTAAACCAAGTAGAATCTTCTTCAGTCGAGATGCCCGGCGGTTGCGCCCGAGTGTCCAACTTGCACAAGACTCTGTTTCACTTCAAAGAGCTACTCCAGGAACAAGTGCAACCTCAAAGAAATATCCCTGAAGTGTATTCTAGAAGAACGTCGGAAAAGGAGACGAAATCGTGAGAGATCTCTTCTAGCGGGGATCCTCTCGCTCTCGACATTCCAGGACGAACTCTAAGCCCACAATTGCATCTAAGAGCGCGTTGTCTTTCGCGTAGCTGTTCGATCGAGCAAGCGGGGCAACTGTCATGAATTTCCTCTTTTCGTTCGCCTTTCGGTGTCGTTCACCGAATAAGAGGAAGGGTCCCTCGGTTTCCTGGTGTGCTCCAATCGGTTGTTGAAATTTTCCAGTCCGAGGCTAGCGTGCTGCTCGAGGGCGATGCTCGGGCAAGAATCGCTGGACCAGCGAGAAACTTGCGGCACGACGTGCAGCGCAAGATTTCGAGGCTCCGGCAGGATCGAGCTTCCTCGGAAGCATTTCCCTGCAGTGCCAGCAGCGTCGAGAGCCTGCCGAGTGGAAGCGGATCCAGCACGCAAGCTCTTGTACGTGCAGGGAGCAATCATAGTTCGATATCCTGCGAGGACAGGGACGCCATCAGCCCCACCGCCACGGGACCCGTGCTCTGCAGGGCCAGGGCGCTCGTCGATTACACGCCAAGCCCTTACGACAAGGACGCCCTGAAATTCAAGGTCGGTTTTTACCATCAGCTATTAGCGAACGCGGTGGAAAACACTCGTCGAGCGCATTATCGTTTGAGACTAGATTTTGAATTAGGAATCTGGTTTCATGCAACAGTACGATAAATCTTGTCACTTGGGACCAGATTTTGAACTATAAATCTGTTTCTTTTTCTTGTTATAAGACGAACAGTCTTGTCGATTGAAGTTAGGTTTTCAATTATAAATCAGGTTATATTTTCTATGTTATATTTTATATTTTATATATTTTCGCTTGGAACTTGGTTTTCAACTAGAAATATAATTCCATGTCGTAAGACCATCTATCTTATCATTTTGAAAAGATGTTGAGCTAGATACATCTTGTCATTTAGAACTAACTTTTGATCTAAAGATCAAAGATCGCATCATCTCATGAGACGATCTATCTTATAATTTAGGAACTATATTTCGACTAGAAACCTGGTTCCATGTTATAAGACGATGTACAGTGGCCCACAAAAGTGTTTGTACATCTTTTAGAATAATAATATTT